TTGTTTAGTTGCATACAGATACAGTCCATCTATCGGATGCTCGATCAGACTGAATGGTAGCGGTACATCGTTGGAAGGCGATTCAGGGACAAGTTCATAGCGAATATGAGCGTTACTGCCTACATCGTTGTCCAGAGCCGGAGGTAAAGTTCTTCTCTCGCCGATGGGATCACCATCTCGGAACTGAACTTGAAATCGTTGTAAATGACCAGGCCAATACGGTGGACTATCGTTAATGTCTTCCACCAGAACACGAATTTGAATCACATTCTGTTCGGTAAAATGACTTTTCAAGCTGGATAAGGCATTCAAAGAGGACTGGGTAGATTGGGTGGTTGCGCTAACTTGCTCCAGTGGATAGAGAGCACACTGAATGGTTATGGGGCAAAACCGATTATCTGTGTCATGCATTTTATTTGTACTGCCGGCCGACTGAAGCAATAACGGGTCTGTGGCACGTTCTAGCATTCCGTATGGCGAATTGGGAGACTTCAGTTGTCGGTTAGAGCACAGCTGTTCTCGATCGATTCGGCGGATAGTTACAAGTCGACCGTCAGGTTTTATCTGCAGGATTAAAGATTAAAATATATTATCATGTATATTGGTATAATGGACCCAATCATGTCCTTAAGCTAAACCAGTGGACAATCACGGTAACTTTATAATTTAAATGGTGTACATATTCACGTTTATTAGCAGAAGTTGAAAGTAATGAAATAGCAACCGCCACATTTTCTTTACTCGACTTCCCAATTGGAGAGGATTTGATGAAGCGTGAACTAAAATATTCAGATGCACTGCCCAAATAATTCAACCTGGTGCTGTCTAACCGGCAGTATGAATCGGTCAACCCAAATAAAGATTGAACATGGGACCTGACAAGTAGAACGCAAGCATGGTATCCATTTGAAGACCGGGCAGCTGAACGGACGGCTTTTAACTTTGAATGTTGGCCATACAGTGCAATTTTCTTTACAAGCTGATTTTGGGCATCACGCCTGGGTCATATCAGCTTCAGGCTCCAGGGTTTGAAACATTTGGAACCTAACTAGTTTTCGATCGTGTATAAACGAAATGAGAAAACCGTCTGATCAGGTGTCCGTTGGTCAAGCGAGTAGTATACTGAGTTTTGCCTGAGGTCCCGCTTTGGACCATCAGTTGGGTCGAGGGATCCACAATGAGGATGAGACCAAAGCAGATTCAAACAGCTTCCTAGCTTTTCAGTTCATACTTCTTTTTCTCTGTACACGAAGCAGTTCAGATCCAACTAAATCCTCTACTATCACCATGTATCCGATAAGAAACTAACTGGTGGAAACTAAATGTAACACTTAGTACTCATGTGAGCTTTCAAACTCTGTATATCTACCACATTATCTTGTGCTTGTTCCAGGAGAGTTGTTGGTGAATTTATGCCGTCGAATGACCTCAGCTACCTCTTAAATCCGCATTCGAACTCTAACACACACACATGGGCATAACTTGCCCATGTCATTCAGGCTTATTTTCCATCGCCTCGGAATGGTCGATCTATCAGACCGAATTGAACCAACCGGACATGGTCATCTTTGTTACCTTATCCCCCCCCCTTTAACGTTGTACGAACCACTCAACCCAACAGTGAGTGTGTGCCCAGAGGAGTGCACAAATGAACAAGACGAAAGCTTATCGACTAACTACTGTTGACCTCAATGCACTTTTATTGCGTGTGTTGCATCCACACTATCCGCTCAAATGATTCGCGGCCTGGAACCCCAAAGTTGGTGTGCTTCAGGGATTAAGTGCGTGTGTAATATTCGACCCGATTGAGTGGCTTGGACAAGGGTGGGAGAGTTGAGAAATGCCACGTGGAGATGAGTGACCACATCATAATAATCGGTCTATGAGTATAGGTAGACGGTCTGAATAAGCTATTGTATTCAGGTCGGTGTTCGATGACCTCAATCCGTTTAATCTGATGAACGAGCAGTAGATGCTGAAAGAATCGATGAGTGGGCTCTCTGTGTGTATATGCGTATATATGCAAAAAGATGAACGACTAACCAGTTCGATTCCACAAGAATGCGAACAACAAGTAAACGATCATTGTGGTCGGAACATCAGACAGGAATAAATTCCAACGTGCCCATCGTAAATTCCGTCATGCCCGATAACCTGATAGCATTAAATACGAATCGAATTCCGGAAAATTATTCATGAATGAAGGGCAACACGTTCCTCCGTCTACCTGGTGTATGTAATGATGTCTACTTTTTTAGGTAATTTTCGGCTTTATAAAATTTAAATATATAGGATTTATGTAGTTCATTTCAGTGTTTTTCTTCGCTTCGTGCGGCGCATCAGTGTTTCCTCTGGTGATGAGTAGAACCTAATATTTTGTCACCGTCGTCGCTGTTGGAGCTATTCTGGTCTTTCATGACATTTGAACTTCCATTTGGATAAAATGAAGCTCCCCCAAACCTACCCCCTTTCACTAACTCATACCGAACTAGCGCTACTTACCAACCTCTTAAGCTGCAAACGTCCATTAGTCGTGAGAACTACAGGCAAGCACAGATCTAGAGAAACATGCCCGACTTAACTACGAAGCCAATGGACACAATGGAACGAGAAGCACTTGAAAAGGCAAATTTTTGTGGAATTGTGCTACGGGTGGCGCTGTTTGGCAAAACATCAACAACAACGACAATGGATTAGAACGTCTTTTGGAACGTTTTAGGGGAACGCTGTAAAAGCAAATGTAAAACAAGTTCAGTAAAAATAACAAGCGTCTTAGTTTTGAACAACCACACACGAAGCTGGGAATCGGGGGCAATTAATAAACGGGGAGGGTGATAAGTTTTTGAGGTCGAATGGGGAGGAAAATAAAAGGTTTAATGTAAATGGTTCACTTAAAACGATGGGAAACATAGCTAGGACAAAGTTAACTCAAATTTCTAAAAGCTTCTCCCACGCTTGAACGAAAGGGAATCATTGATTCTTTCGAGGTGGGAAACCAGACAGAAAGCTTCAGCATGCTTTCTATAAAGCGCTCTCCAACAGTATTCGGAAATTCAATTGCCACAAATACAACATTATTCTAAAGGACGATCAGCGAACTAGAAAGCATCGTATTATTGTTTTTAATTATTCTTCGAATCATCAGCAATGTATAACCTTTTGAGACTGTCACGAACTTTCGTTCGACGAACTGTGGGCTATTCAATTTCACGCTTCATTTGCCTCATGCATGACAAAATGAAATCACTAAACCGCCAATACTCCCATGTACCATGTTGTGCGGCTCGGAATGTTTTCGACCGAATGATAACCCTAGAGGCTAATGCCGAGATGAGTGAGGCGTTATGTATGCATTGAGCTGATAAAGCTGATAAAACGATAAACGGTCTGATCAGCTGTCCTGTGGTCTAGCGGGAAGTATGGTTACATTCCACTTGCGAGGAACTATATTGGATCATCAATTGGGAGGGGAGGGATTCGCACGGATGATGAGACCCAACCAGATTGGAACAACTGTGCAGTTTTTCAGTTCACGCCGTATTTGCTCAATAAATAAAGTTGATCAGAAAATATCCACAACGGTCAGACGATCAGCCTCACATTTCCACAGCTTCATTTTGAGTTTATCCTCCAGCTTGTCGTGTTCTACTGACGAAGAACATTTAATTCCATGTGAGTAATGGAGGATTTAGTTCGATCTTAGAGGTGAATTCATCGTGTATATAACAAATTAAGCGTGAATTGAAAAGCTAGGAATCACTGGACAGCTGTTTCGACCTGGCTGGGTCTCATCAGCAGTGCTAATCCATCGACCCAACTGGAGATGGAATCCGGGACCTCATGGGCATACCCACTCGGCCACCGGGCAACTGATCGGACCGTTCGTCATTTTCCACTTGCACCATCCCCATTTGTGTCGATGGATTCGCAATGCTGATGAGACCCAACCAGGTCGATACAGCTGTCCAGTGCCTTGAAGCTTTTCAGTTCACGCTTCATTTGCTACGTACAGGACGAATGCAACTTTAAAAATTTTAATTCACCTATTTGCTTCCATTCTATCAAACCTCAGTCACTGTCTGGAACTGCTAAACTCCAGTCATGTAGACACAAAAGCGCTCACCATTTATTGGAAAGTGGCCATTGGGTTCACTGTGAGCAACCTTCAGCGAGCATATTGACCGATGTGGTAAATAAACAAGGTAGTATACTTTTCCAATCCAGGTATCATTAAATTGTTTTCAGTTCAGTTACACAATTTTCTGTATATTACCTTTCACAAATGATAAATCGACTGTCAAATAGCACCATAATAGTTGAGGAGTTAGTTATCATCGCTCTTCGTACAGTTTAGCAAACCTTGCGGATCGCTGCCATGATCAAAATGCTTACAAAGTAGGTGATAAAGCACGAGATGGTTTTAGTTTTGGCCTAGTTGGAGGGCTGCAAATAAAGGGGACCTCTATGATCAAAACATAGAATGCACATCCTAACTGCTCATAAATACATTTTAAAGCATTCTGACCTGATAAGAAATGACCCCAAGAATGCCACTGCTGTAGGTTCAGTGTCTCCAACCAGCCAATCGGATCCACAAAATGTTAGCGCCAAAAACTGTATTCCATTCTATGGAATCTGATCGGGAAATGTGTGAGCATCTGTTGTAACAGGTTACATTCCTCGATGCTGTTCCCAATGTGCCAATGAAATACACGTAATCCCTGCGTTGGACCATATGCAGCGGAACTTGAGGTTTCCGATGAAAGCACTAACAATTTATTTGGAGTGTAACTCATAATACAATTCACGGTTTAGTTTCCGAAAAATCACCAATATAGACACACAAGTGCACGTGTCAGGAAATAGGCATTTGTAGTTATGGTTTGAACGGGCTGTAATTTATGGATAGAACACGGAAAACATTAAAACAATGTGACTGTCGAAGGTTTCATGTGAGATAATGGTAAAGTTTTAGCTATCCAGTGGATAATCGCAGTGATAACGTAATTATACTCTGAAAACCTATAAACAGCTCCGCAAGCTGGGTAACGTAATTAACCAAACTGTAATGCAAATCACGTTAAGCACGTTGCCACCATTTGGGATTGAGTGTTCGTCGTGTGCATGTCTCATTAGATCTTTTGGTTTATGGTTGGTTTGTATTTTCCCTGCGTTACAGGTTGTTTGGAAATCCCCATTTCACGGATAAACTGTCGGCCGAAGTGCCGTATACCTGTGCACTGAGAGAGTTTGCGTTCATGAGTTGGTTTGACATCCTAAAGAGGTATTTTTGTGGCATTCTAACAACATTCTGGCAACATAAACTCGGATGGTCTTACTCGAAATCAACCACCGGTGATCTATTACGACCTAAGTTCTATATGCTACAATACCTGGATTCGAGACGATTTTTCCATTTTACTGGTATTATTGGTTGTGTTGTGAGGTGCTACTCACAGTGAAGAGTAGTTGGAGTGAACCAATAAGAGGTTGTTGGATTCCAACGAGATTCGCGAACGGATTAAAGTATTCGCTGTTGCAACCACAGAATAGACACATGGACTATCCATGGCAATTCTTGTTAGAGAGACGCTGACGAAAATACTGACTTATGGTTGCAAATTTAGTTTATCTCTTTGTACTCTTATTCACCCCTATCCGATACTGTTCTTCAAGTAAATAACAGTCCTCGACCCGGCACTAGAGTTTAGAATAAACAGGAGTATTAACATTCGAGAAATGCACTCGCACGGCCTAAGGGTCTGCATTAGTGGCGATTACTAAAAGCATGCCAAATCTACCTAACTTTCCAAGCTACGGATAGCATACTTTGCTTATTATAATGTGGAGGATATTTGAGTGTCAGCTGAAAGCCTCACTTCTAACGCTGCGTTGGTCATTATTATGACACCGCAAAATATTTCCCATCCATATTCGCCTCGGGGGTGGGTTGATGGAGTGATAGCAGGTTTCCATAGAGAAAATACCAGATGCACAAAGCACACACATTTTGATGTGAATGGACCCAAACGGAACTGATGAACTCGCAGACAAGGGGCAAATATGCGGGTCACTACCGCTCGGAATATCCCAACAACTGATTCCCCTCTCGCTTGACTGATTGGAAAAAGTGGGGCAACAGACTAGAGGCGCTCACCCAGCAATGCGTCGTTAGCGGCAATCAATCGGGAAAATAGGCCAAACAACCCGACTGGTGTCTATCGCTTATACCACGAACTTTTGCATCCAGAGTTGCATATCTTGCGGATAAACGTTTTTGCTGACTGTCAAAAAGGTTTTAAGCCACCACCGAAAACCTTTCAACAGAGTGGAAGACCTATTTTCAAGCTTCACACTCAAAATCGGGCTGACTAAGTTGTACGATTTTAGTGATAAAATGGTCTCGATGTAAAACTACCATGGCGTTTATGCTCTCATTACAGTGTTTTTAACAACACAACATATGCTTAACGATTGTGTGCTCAAAAGCAGTTAGTTACAACTTTATGCTACAGATATTGAACAACTATTCACATAGCCAGTTTACATGAAGACCACAAATTGTGTTGAGCCACACACAGATTCAATCACGTTTGAAAAGATTTTATCAGTCGTGATAACAGAAACACATTTATCGAAAACAAAAAAAGCTATAAATACTGTGTAAAAGAAACAAAGAAAAACACACCTCAAAGCAGTTGACTCCGCGGTCCGCGTAATTCAAAATTTTGAACATGAACATCCTTTTCAATTGATCTGGTTTCGGATTTGCGCCGTTCGGTGATTTGACCAGTCCAAAATCCATCAGACGAACCAGGACATCGTCAACCAAGTTGCCCACTTGTGTGCCCAGTGGCAGTTCTTCTTTTATCCGATATTCTTGTTCCGTTGCAGTGGATGTGGAAAAAGTGTAGGATAGTAGATCGCCATAGACGAGAACGAAGTAACTGATGAATGCAATCATGCTTCCATGGCAGACGTGCAAAATCTGTAGTGATCTGGGTTACACGGAAGCCTGACTAAAAACGGGGTTTGTGATATAAGCTGGAAGAGGAAAACAGGTCACGGGGAGAGAGTGAGGTCGGGAGTAGTCATAGACAGGTTTTGGTTGTGAATTATTTGGTGGCGTGTATTTATAAACGAGTAGTTAGTGTTGCAGTATATCCCTGATAATCAAAATTTTAATGGATCATATTGTTGTTCGTCACCTACTGAACCCGAAAATTGACTAACACTATCGACTTGCCCAAAGTAGCAAGTAGAATTCAGGTTTTAGTTTGGACGGAATTTTTTCAGTTATCAAAAAGGAGCACAATCGATGAGGAGGTTTTCTATGTCGGGTCCCATCCACTGTGCGTATTATTTTTGTGTCCCTGTGCGGACTCAACAAGTAAACCTTCAGAAACGGATCCGGCGGTGTTCCGTGTGTTTTTCTAGTTCAACTTATCATAAACAAGCCCGATGGGTTTTTCAAAATTATGTTACCAAACGCCAAACGTTGTTAACATTAACAGCTACTTCAAGCTGTGTCCACCCACACCACCCCACCGCAGTTTGAACTTCCACCTTCTCGAACAGCAGATCCTTACAGGAATATCAGCATGCTGTATCATATGTATGTATTTCGTTGTTTCATCTTTTATCGATAAACTAAAGGTATACTGACTTTAACAAAATTCGAGGCGCTTCCTGTGTTAACCGCTCGGTTATTCTTTTGCTAACGAAAGCTAATACCGGTTTTGTCATATACTACCTGCTTTTGAGTAGTAGGTAACAAAGTTGGTGATTTATTTCAGCGGTCAAAAATCAACCAGATCACCTAGGCCAAATTCTGTATCTTGAACAAAAACCTAAATTGCTGCATTCTTTACCCGTTGTGTGACCAGGAACTGCAATGGTATGTTTCTGACCAGATTTCCGTGTTCTGTGTGCAAAATTAGTGATGTCCCAACTCTAATCATCAATAAACAATTATCTTCGACTGAGCACCGCTTTTTGGAATCATAACATCCGTTATGTTTTTCGCTTCGCTGTAAAACGGGGATAGCACTGAAAATTCACCCATTTTGTATGTACAATATGTGTTGATTTCACTTGGTTACATGAAACCTTTATTCTGAAGGAATATAGTCAATGATCAAGGCCGACATACTGCAACGACAAAATAGCTGACAGTGCTCGTTGGTGAGCATTGCTGGGGTTGTCTCAAGAGAAAAATGTTTGGTTTTACTAAACACACGGAGAGTAAATGAGCACAGAATGAGTGAGATTCACATAGGAACAAATGCACTCATAGTCCTCGTTGTGCTTTTTTTAATTCATCTGACAGAAGACGAGAACAGAGTTTAACTTCCAAAACTCTCTCATCTTTATCAAAAAGAAGTCCGCATATTAGAGTTTACGGGAACCGACTTTATTGCGCGGAATACCGAGGGGGTAAAATTTGGTTGATCAGCGAACTAATGCACTTCGCAAAAGAGTTAATTGTTCAAGTGAACAGTTTCATAATGGAAGAATTCAACGCATAATAAGCTTTACTGGTCTACTTAACTTGATGCTTCGGGAAGGGCACGGGAATCAAATCCTTAGTGAAAGACGGCCACGTTGCTCTTGTGTATCCGATCGATTCAAGTGAATTTATTTGATTACTTTCATTTTGGTCCATGCCCCAAGCTCAAGATTATAAAAGATCACCTGACCGAGGCAAAAAGAAACATTTTTAATCATCGAGTTAAGCTCGACTGTCAGCTGAATAGGATTCTTTCTGGGGTGCGGTGTTCCTCGAGAGTTTGGCGGTGCAATTAAAGCGGGACAAGTGAAACACAAAAGACTGACCAAAAGACACACGTTCAACTGATACAGGAAATATCAAGTTTCATAATGTGACTTGACCGGCGCTTCCTCTCAAGAGAAATATAGAGTAAAGCTATCAGAAACTCAGGCTTACTCAGTCGGTTCATTGAAGATAGATACAAGTTTTACTACTGCAGAAAATGGTAAATTTTCGTGCAGGTAATATGATTCAAGATACAGATTTCCATTCATTACGTTCAATCTACCGACAGCGTTTCCATTCACTTGCACTCGATTCCATACAGCATTTACTTGCTGTTTTTAACCATTTAAATTCTATAGCGGAATATCGAAAAAGGTATACATTTTTGTCTTAAGCAATACATTCGATAGCGGTTTGTGTGATCCTTCACAAAAGCGAGTTCTAGAGTTCTTGACAAGATCCTATATATTCTGGTGATCCATTCCTTCGTGAATAATACGTATCTTGGAAAACTTTCTGATTCAACCTTGAATGCGCAAGGTGTAAACGGAAATGACTATTGAATGTCCGGGGACAATAGATCCCGTACATTTGTTTACTATGGGACTGACAATTTTATTATCTAACTGAGCAGTCGAATTACTTTATTACACGCTGATATACATGACCTCCATTCCCACGCACAAAGTTATATTTTTCTAAATAAACTGGTGCAACGGTGGATTACAGTTGACTTCACGATAAAATTCCGTCGAATGAGAGGAGTACAAGAAACGCGAACCGAAAATCTCGGAAGCACTCACTGTGGAGCTGCTTCAACCTGAACTGGTCTCGTCAGTAATACGCAAATACCCATCTGAGGATCATGAACCTAGGGAATCGAGGGATAAAACGCGGTCGTATGTCTAAATTGACCAATTTTCTCATTCTTTAATTTTGTCTCACGGTGAAGATGAGCTATATAATGGGCATAAACAACGCAGAAGAAATAGTTCATTTATTGTTTGTGTAATTTCTTTCATATCAATCAAGTTAGTAAACGAACGTCAGAAATGCGGGAAATGAAGTGCACATTTTCATGGAAGCATTCACGTGCGAACTGAATAAACCGGATTTTATAAAGTTATTAGGTGATGTAGATTTCATTCATTTGTAATCTATTCCATTCTCATAAGTTGTTGATTGTGTTGATTGTGAAGAGTCCATTAGCCTGGATGGGATTCGGTGAACTCTGGTGAATTCTAAGGAAAACCTGTCGGGGCAGTCAGCTAGCATGCTAATTGGTGGAGGCCATATGCCTCTGTAAGTTGAATGGGTAATTCGAATGTGAGAAGATCAGTGCTATTGATGTGGGCTCGTTGCTCAGCTGGTAGAGCATGCGTAGAGAAATTGTAGGCGGCGTCAATGAGTGGGTTCCAATCTGCCAAAAATCCATTTGCACAATTCTCATAAGTTTTATGTCGTTGGTTATTGAAGTGAGCACTTATATTCTTTTGGAAACGATTGCAAGGGAGGAACACTATAAATGGTCTGATATTGAGAATACACATATTAAGCCAAAAGTCATCGCTTTTGTGAGTATATAAATAGGAAGAGGTCATTGCGAGGGTAGTATCTTCATGAAAGATTACATTACTTGGGAATGAGTAGCCCTTCGATTTAGTTATAAGAAGATACCGTCAACAGGTCCTACATACTAGGATGACTTGGTGGATGGAATCCTGTTACCTACATTATTGCTAATATGGCTGCTCTCGAGAATGACCCACCTAGTGTGTGTGTGTGTTTCCGTGTGAAGGATCTCTGTAATCGAGGCTTAACAGAGATGGACAGGTAAAAAATGTAAACAACACAATTAGACGCGTTGGTGGGGGTGGGATACGAGTGGGCCAAGATAGTGGTGAATCACTGGGCATCTCAAAAGTAAATGGGAACGTGATGAAGATGAACGAATAAGAAAAAGAATAGAGATGATGCGAGGGAGGGACAAGTGGGTGGAGTGGGTTTTGCGATAAGACAAAAGTGAATACTTGTGTGTGTACCTGTCCGACAAATGTGTCGCAAATGTTTTCCGATTTTTGACGATTAACGGGAAACACTTGAGATAAGTGAATGTCACTGAGAGTTGTTTACTCGCTTGTCATTCCAAGTGATTCCGAGCACTGCCGTGTGACTCACAACAAAATGAGCTTATTTTAATCTGTTGATCTTTCTGTTAGCGGTACTGTATGTCGTAGCCTGATGACGCACAGGGACCACTTGTCAAATGTTTGTCAATTTGATTTGGTTGGCAACTTGCTTTTATTCCCGGTACGTCATAATATTATTGTTTATATTTGTCGGTATAGATTTATGAGCACAACAATTTTAGCTGCAATAACGGGTAGACTAACATAAAAATGATCATGAGAGTAGTGGGGAATATTATTTGATTTTTTGGTGAACTTTGTTGTTTACTGAGTGAATGAAAATAAAGGAAGCACTAGACAGATTTTTACCTGATTGGGTCTCATCAGCAGTGCGAATCCATCAACCTAACTAGGGCTTAAACCTGGAACCTCATTGGTAGATAGCAAGCATACTACTGACTTAACGACGGGGCAACTGATTAGATCACTCTTCTTTCTGAATATATGGTATGGCACAATCCATCTTTGGGAGCCTAATGGAAGCATCTTCGTAGAACCAGTAGTCAGCTATTCGAGGAATCTATCTCATTGTGATCTGTTGCTTAGTGAAACCGAGAGAAAGTTTTCAAGAGATTAGTTTAATGTCAGTTCGAGTGCCTGTACTCTACTCCTCACCCTCATGTATCGTGGGATATCAGAGAATGTCTTTACCAAGGGTCAATTCGTCTGTACATGCAACATCTAAAGAGTGATCTTCAGCTTTAATGAAAACCAGTATTTCCAAATCGTCGCATAGGTCGATATCGGAACTGAATGCGTTAAGCAGTTGAATATTTTGAGGGTTATCAGGAACAGTCAACTGCTTTTGGTCCTATTAACACCACACAGTGGTGAATTTAACTGCCAGATGAGTATAGTTAATACAATTTAGAAATGGGGGCTGCAAGCTTTCATCATAATGTAGCGACAAAATTTGATGCTGTCAAACCAAATGTGATTGGAACGGAATTCAACTGCCCGCAAAAGATCGAGATAACGAAAGCCACACATCAACCGAGG